TGTAATTGCGATAAGCAGGCAAGAATTTTTTAGTTGTTAACTGATAATTAAGTTGTCAAGTAACAATCGTGACCATGCAGCCCGAAAATACGCAGAAAATTTTAAAATTATAAAAGGAGCAGCAATCTGTGCGTAAAATAGCAAAAGAATGCAAAAAATTAACGACCAACATTGCCGCCATCTCGCCTAATTAGTCACTTCGAATAATGCAGTAACAATCGCGGCAGCTCTTAAAGTGCTAAATATCGAAGCAAGTGAGTGGACAGCGCGTCATTCATTAAACAAACTTGGCCTTAAAGCATTTGGTGGGTCAATCGTGTTTTGGGGGTGTATCACCAAAAATGGTGTAAGTCGTCTAGTACGCATTGATGGAATCATGCGTAAGGAGCAGTATCTGACCATTAAGTTGTGAGAGCGGACTCAAGAAGTTTGGAATGCAATGCCCCTGAATTTGTATCAAAATACACAAAAACGATTGAGCGCTTTAAAAAAAGATAAGGGCTTTTGTATCAAGTATTAATTTTATGATTTTTTAAAGTATTATGTTTTAATATCACATCGAGTGCAAAACTGCAACATTGAGTTTTTTTGCGTTGGTACTTTTAGTAATATTAAGTTGTTATTAAATTACCATGTTAAGCTACTTTAATAAATAAATTAATTATTACATTTAATTGAAAACATATCATATCATTAAAATCGTATGAAAACATTAGAATACTGTCCGACTCTTTCGGAAATAAAATCGGTCGGATAGAGAACCTCCAGATCAAGAGTAAATATAGATGTAGCCGCGGGAAACTTATAGTTTTCGAGATATTAACGTTTAAAGTTGAAAATTTTAACTATTGAAAGTACGTATAGTATAAAGTACGTACTAGTATTAGCTTATCGACATCTTTTGTTAATGAACTGAAAGAAATATAAGCAGATTATACCCAAAATAAATTTCGGTCGCACTTCAAAAAAATAACCCTGGTCGGTCCAACACCGGAGTTTATCAAGTGAAGGAAATTAATATAGTTTTATAAAATTAAAAAACACGCTTTTAAACCACTTCAAACCAAATAGAAAAAAATAATTCCTTATATAAACTGATTTCGATATACGAAAAATATATCTCAAATCATCCCACGCTTTTCTCACAATAATACAAGTATTTTTTGGTCAATATTTCAGTTCAGTTATATAATATAAGGAATTATTTTTCACTTTTTAGTTTGAAGTGGTTTTAAAGCATGTTCTTTAATTTTTTAAAACTATATTTATTTTTCACTTTTTGTTTAAAGCATGTTTATTAGTATTTTAAAACATACCTATTATTTAGCCACACGTAGTTTTTCCACTATATTTAAGGATGCGTTTGAGTAAATTTGTTATTCATATGATAGCATGGATTGTTGATGCCTTTCGCTGCATAGCTTTAGGGGCATTTTTGGATAGTAGATTGTTGTATTTGGTTAATACCTGCTTTTAGCTGCATAGTTTTATTTCGCTCAATTTCACAGTGTGTGATAGGAATGAATGGGTCACATACCTAATTTTGCTGAAATTAGTTCAATTGTTCCTGAGATATAGGATTTCACCTAAAGGTTGGTGGGCCACGCCCATTTTACAATTTTTACACCTCCTCCTGTAAAACTCTTCCCCACCATCTGGTTTGTGAAATTTAATGCATATAGCGCATTTGTTTTGTGAGTTATTGAGAGCATTTTCACAGCGTATGAAAAAGTGCTAAAAGGACTTCCTCTCATCAAATTTGGTTGAGTTAGCTTTAGTGGTTTGGAAAATATACATATACAATAAACCATTTAGGGGGCGGGGTTACGCCCACTTTTAAAATAATGGAAAATTGTTATCAAATTATTGCATTGTCATCGATCCTTGACATGTGTGCAAAGCTTCAAGTGGATCAGACTTCTGGAAACCAGCGAAAACTTAGATTCCATTACATATATACAACCCAAGCTAATAAAAGCGTGTTAATAACTAAAAGAGTTATTAGTGTCTATCAACAATTATGGCTCCTGTTTTTGGGGTATAATCTCTCTTTTTATTTTATTTTTCTTCGTTTGCAAAATATACAATATTAGTATGGTAACGCTGGTTATTTGACATTTACAACCCTTTTGTTATTGTCAAAATTAATAGAATTGAAGAATGATTTAAATATTGAAATAAAGCAAGTTTTGCATTATATAATGTAAACTAAATGTGTACAAACGAATTAGTGAAGTTTTAGTGGATATAAAAATGAAAAATATAAGTGTATAATTCATTTTAAATTGAAAAAATACGTACTTTAAATAGTTTAGAAATTTTCAACTTTAAACGTTAATATCTCGAAAACTATAAGTTTCCCGCGGCTATATAACGGATATTACTACTGTTACTTTTGAAGAAAAGTACCGTTTCGGTTTTTCCTTTTGCTATTTATTTCATATTGACAAATAAAATTCAAACGTGTTTAGTGCGAATTGTGTTAAAAGATTTTTTTATATCATTTATAAATTTTAAACTTTTAAAATTAGTGCAATTTCAACAGGTAAGTTATTATACTTTTAATTTTTTTTTTTTAATATTTAATAATGCCTAGAAGTAATGTACTAAGAGTGGCGGAGTTGAAGGACATGTGGAACATTAGAAAAGTATTCCAAACATACGAAACACGGGAGAGCTGCTTAGCCTTTGCTGAAGAACAAGGGCTCATATTAACGCAAAAGATTTGCAGGATGCATAAAATCCCAATGGTGCTGTTTATAGCGGGGAATAGTACCGTCGGAACATTTAGATCCCGTACGCGATATCTCGGTCTAAGGGTACTTGGTACGAGAACGCCCAAATACCTTTGAACCAAGTATTTTATCTAATGTTTTGATTTTCATCGCATTGGACGCATGAGGAGGTGCGTAAAAATAGTATTGTCAGGGAACCTTTTTTATCCAGCACTACTATATGCGACTGGTATAACTACTGACGCGAAGCTGTAGTAGTATACCAAGTGAACCATTAAGATAAGTTGGGTAAAATTGGTGGCCCTGGAAAAAAAGTTCAAATAGAAGAAAGCAAATTTGGAAAAAGAAAATATAACAAAGGTAATATTAAAATTAAACAATAATACATAATTACTTATATATTTTTCTTATTTCAGGCAGGAGGGTGGAAGGTCACTGGGTGTTCGAAATGGTGGCAGATGGCAGCGAGAACTTGCGATTGGAGGTATGTCCTGATAATGTCAGGTCTGATGAGGTGCTCATACCCCTGATAGAAAAACATGTTACTCCCGGCACAATCATTTGCACTGATTGTTGGAAGGCGTATGATTGGCATGAGGATCCTTTTGTTAAATTGATTGAGGTAATAATACATATATATTAGCCATAAAACAATTTCGTTTTGTTTTATTGGAATAATTTTTTAATATTTTTTTTCTAGGTTTTGGATTCCTGATTCTGTTTTCATTTCTTTCAGTACATTTACAAAAAATGTCGATAAGGTAACACTAGTTATTTGACATTTCGCAACCCTTTTGTTATTGCCAAAATAAATAGAATTTAAGAATGATTTAAATATTGAAATAAACCTATTTTTGCATCGTATAATATTAAAACAATTAAGAAAGTTCTAAGTTCGGGTGTAACCGAAAATTTTATACTCTAGTAACTTGCAAGAATCAAAGCCGGGAAATTACTTCAGGTGTTGGCAAAATTTTATATTTAAGGAAGTCTTGATCCGATTCAACCCATTTTTGACACAAAACATACTATTATCGAAGGTTTCATTTATTTATTTTATTATATGAAATATATATCCTTAACATTGACCGATATTTTCGGTAAAAAGTTAACTATAGGCACTGGGGTCCACATATTCAGTACCTAGGGGATTGAACAGTTTCGGTTCGATTTAGACAATTATTAGTCACAAGGTGGCACACAAAAGAATCAGTTGGAATTTAAAATGGTGTTATATGGGAAATAGGCGTGGTTGTAACGATTTCGCCCATTCTCGCACTATAACATAGAAATATGAGAAGAACGTTATGTACCGAATTTAGTTGAAATCGGTTAAGCTGATCCCAAGATATGGGTTTTCACCTAAAAGAGGGCGGTGCTAGCCCACTATCTAATTTTGAAGTCGGTTCTTACACCATTCCCGAGATAAAATTAAAGGCGTGTTTAGTGCTTGATTTATCGCGCTTTTAGTAGTTTTTAACAGTACCGTATTATGGGGAGTGGGCCGGGTTGTCACCCGATTTCACCCATTTTCATACTGTCGATAGAGGTGCTAAAAACATTTGTTCCCAGTGAATGTAGTTATTATAGCTTTAGCAGTTTAGGAGATATGCACATTAAACCTATTAGGAGCGGGACCACGGCCACTTAAAATTTTTTTTTAACTGCAGATGCCCCTCCCTAATGTGATTCTATATACTAAATAAGAGTCTTGCATCTTGTTGTGGAGCATAGTTATGGCATTTTATTTGTTTTTGATTAATGGTGTTTTGTGGGCGTGGCAGTGATTCGATTACGCCCATCTGCAATACCAACCGTCTTACGGTACAAAGAAACATGTGTACCAAGTTTCATAAGATATGTCAATACGGACGGACGGACAGATGTCTCTTCATCCAGATCATTTATATATACATAACCCTATATCTAGCTCGATTAGTTTTAGGTGATACAAACGACCGTTAGGTGAACAAAACTATTATACTCTGTAGCAGCAGGTTGCGAGAGTATAAAAATGTCTAAAAACGAATTAGTGGATATAAAAGTCAAAAATTTAAGTGAATAATCATCTTAAATCCAAAAAATACGTGCTTTAAAAAAATGTAAATTTTCAACTTTAAACGTAAATATCTCGAAATTATAAGCATGCAATCTTAAAATTTGCTAAAGGAACGGGCAACAGCAAATGAAAACTTGCCGAAATTAAACCACAAAACTACCCTGGTGAAAACAAACACTAATTTACAGCATTTCAGTTTTACTTACCCCTTCATAGCTTCTTGTCTCCACTCCTTTTTTAGTGACTAATTTAATTTCCTGTTCAATTCCCCTTTGATCTAAAAAATTTACGTATGAGAATAACGATCGTTTGATATTAAAGGAAACTTTAGTATACCATCCCACGATTTCAGTGTTGTTGTTGTAACGGTTACCTAGTCCCCTTTTGGTTGATAAATTCCAGATTGGTTGTCGTCGAGGTCATCTAACGGGAGGCCCAGGAAACGAGGTGTTTCGACGGGGTCGGATCATAGGGAAAAGGGTGTTAGATGTGTGGGGTTTGGTGGGCATGCAAAGAGGTGGTTAGTGACATGCGGAGACTCATTGCACGCAGGACATGTGTTTGGTATGTCGGGGTCTATTCTGGATAAGTAGGAGTTTAACCTGCTACAAGATCCACAACGAAGTTGCTCGAAGGTCACTCTGGTTTCGCGAGGTAACTCGAGCTCTACCTCTGCTATAGGTGGTGGTTTGACTCGTAATAGGCCATTCACTGAGAGGGAGTCGGTGAAGGTGTTGATGGCTCCACTGTGAATGGCGGTCAGTGCCTGTCTGAAGTTCGTTGCGTCCGAAGTCCGGGCGACGTACTGTCTAATGTCGTCGACGTAATCAAGGAAAGACCTCTTGATGTTCCTAGGAGCAGACAACTCCGCTTCAAGCAGACCAGCGAAAACAACTCAGCCGAAACTCTTTGGAGAGGAGCTCGTTATGTTCCTTAACCGGAAGCATACGGGCCTCACTGTGTAGGTGTTCGATTGGGGACATCAAGAGGCATCCCGTGATAGTCCTGAGTGCAGTGTTCTGACAGGTCTGGAGCTTCTTCGACTGCGTGGCACTACACCCAGGCGACCATATTGGGGCTGCATAATTTGGGGCCGGCCGGCCGATTGCCTTGTATGTCGTGTGAGGAGTGAAGGAGCAAAGACTCTATAGTGTAACGCCTAAAATTTTAGTGTTGTTTGAAATGTTTAGATCCTGGTCTGTACTCCTTCGTCCAGTTCGTAAATATGGTCGCTGTGGATTTAGTGGGGGAGAGTGTCAGACTCCTTGCAGAGAAGAAGCGAGAAAGATCAGAGAGATAGCTGTTTACTTTCGAGCACATGCCATCGATTCCATTGCCCGACGTCAATATCGTGCAGTTATCAGCGTACGAGGTCACGGAAATTCCCTCTGGTGGTTGAGAGAGTTTCGAGATGTAGAAGTTAATCAGTAAAGGGGAGAGGACACCACCCTGCGGAACACCCTGTTTAATTCTTCTCAGTTTGGAACCCGATATAGTACGGATAATTGCCGACCGCTCAGGTAGTTCATGGTCCACCGCTTCAGCCCTGGAGGGAGCGTAGATTGGTCGATGTCCTCAAGTAGCGTTGTGAGGTTGACTGTGTCGAAGGCTTTCGACAAGTCCCACGCTACGAGGATCGTCCTCTCGCAGGGTGGCTTCTGGTTTAAGCCATGAACTATTCGGGCGTTTATGACGCAAAGTGCTGTGGTGGTGCTGTGCACTTTCCGCAAGCCATGCTGATGTTCTGCTAGGCTAAGGTGGTGAGTGAACGTCGGGAGTAACAAGGCCTCAAGTGTCTTCACTACTGGGGAAAGGAGAGTTATCGGGCGATAAGACTCCCCTTTGTTGGCGGGTTTCCCAGGCTACAGAAGTGGGACCACTCTTCCGACTTTCCACACCTCGGGTATTTGAAGAGTTGCCATCGACAAGTTGAGGACCTTGGTGAAGTAGTTTACTCCCGTCGAGCCTAGATGTTTTAGCATCAGCATGCTTATTCCATCAGGGCTAATGGATTTGGACGATTTGGCCTTTGTAATGGCACTCTGAACCTCCCCATCGGTGAAAGTAAGTGGTCGCAGTCTTTTGGCATTTTGGGCAGCCGTCGGGTAACACATCGTTTGGCCTTGTCAGTCGAAGGGTGCAGTTGTAAACTGCCGGCTAAAATAGCTCGCGCACTTCTTCGGATCCGAGGAGGCATGGCCATAGAATTGAATTTCACCCCGATCATCATGTCTCCTCGGATTTGACAGGGTCTTGACAGTAGTCCAAAGCTTACTTACACCGGTGGAGAGGTTGCAGGACTTCAGGTGCTCTATCCATTCAGTAGCAGCAGCGATCACCTTGCGGAATTGACGCTCGCCAACGATGACGTTCGTAGGAATGGGTAGTGCGTTGAAGGTGCTCTCGGTAAATTCTGTGAAGCCGACCCATTTAGCTTTGTTAAAGTTAACAAAAGTGCGGTTGTCCACGGAAATAAAATCAGGATGTTTCTCGATCGAGATAATTATGGGCAGATGGTCTGATGCGAGAGTTAGCATAGGTCGCCAGGTTATACTATTTATCAGACCACCGCTAGCGATGATAATATCTGGCGAGCTATTAAAAGTGCCCATAATTCTGGTGGGGGATTCGTCATTCATTCATTGTGCAGAATGTCGAATCGTCAATCTGTTTCGCCAGCTCCATCCCCCTACGATCGTTTGACAGGCAGGAATGCCAAAAATAGTGAGGTGTCCCTGCGGTCAATGTCACGGTCGATTAGACGATATTGCACGGTGTTGTGCAATATGAAGGCTAGGCCTCCACCATTATCTCGCTCGCGATCCTTACGTAAAACGTTGAAACCTGCACAACTCAGAAGATCTGAGCGGCTGTTTAACTTGGTTTCTTGGACCGCAGCTATCGATATGCGGTCCCGGCTCAACTCCCGTTGCATTGTGGAGTCGCGATTGTCCGGTCGTAATCCTAGGGGTGAGAAGGTGGAGGATGTTGCAGCTGTACTATCCGCATGGGCGGTTGTCGCACTGTGGTGTTGATTGGCGACACCACTGTATGTGATTGCGGGGGTAGACTCCTACAGCATGGGGCAACATACGACGCACTCCACTCTCGTGTGGTGCGCAGACCGTAACACAACAAAAAACCGAGGTGGAGTTTGGATGGAGCCTTCTAGCGCAAACGCAGCAATAAAATTAATCGGGGCCCGGGTTGAGCTCGATGCCAGCAGGGATCAGAAGGATACGGAGCACCCCTGCTGCTAGGCGTTACTCCAATGACGACAAACTTTATCTAGAACTTACCAATCCAAACAGGGTTAGATCGCCGAAAAATTTCAGTGTTAGGAGGGGTATGGTTGGATAGAGGAGATTCTTCAGATAAAGATATATAATTATAGCCGCAGGAAACTTATAGTTTTCGAGATATTTGCATTTTAAGTTGCTTTTCTTTTATATTACGCACTTATTATGCCCTAACACTTCGCTACATTGTTTCCACATATTTATTTTATATTAATTATTTTAGTATTTGCTTTGTATAAGCATTTTATTTTAACACAATTTTAGTTATGTGCAAAATAACAAATAGGTTCCATGTTGACAGATAATAAGTGTTGCCACATCCAAACGAATGAAAGCAATCAAAATACATAAAATACACAATTAGCCTCTACTAACTTATATGCACAATATTTACCAATTCAATTTGAATATGAAAATAATGGCAAAAAGGACAAAATAAGAAACGGTACCTTGTTTAGTTCTAACAATATCCGTTATAATCCGTTATTGAATATGAAATTTAAAGATAGTGATATACCCTCTTTAAAATTACTTTTTCTTTGATCAGATTTCTTAGTTCCATTTGCGGTCTTCGGACGCGGTTCAACGCGGGGTGGTCGTAATTCCTTTCGCGTCCTACTTCTTTCTGCAGTGGTGACCTTCGGCCGCACTTCAAAATAATAACCCTGGCCGATCCAACTCCGGGGTGGTCGTTATCCCTTTCGCGTCCAACTTCATTCCGCATTGGCGGCCACGCTTCTAAAAAAAAATAACACTGGCCAATCCAATACCATGGTTTATCAAGAGAAGGGAACGAACAAAATTATGGTTCATGTATTTGGGATATAATCCTCAATTCTTCATATTAATTCGTTTGCAAAATATAAATATATATACATATATATAAAATAGATATGGCAACACTTATTATCTGTCAACATGGAACACATTTGTTATTGTGCATATAACGAAAATTGTGTATATTAAAAATTTTATTTAAAGCAAATTTTAAAATATTTAATATAAAATAAATATGTAGAAACATTGTAGTGAAGTGTATAATAAGTGCAAAAATAAAAGAAAAGTCAACTATAAATCGAGAAATTGTAAAATAAAATTTGTGAAATTTTCAACTTCTGCAAATATCTCGAAAACTACTGTCAGCGTCAAAAGAAAGTGTACACCATTTTCTCATACATTTCAGTCTTTATCTCAGTATAAAAATATCTAAAAATTTTCAAATAAATTATCATTTATGAATGATTAAATATTGTTCTTACAAAAAATTAACAGCAATCCAAAAAAAATCCATAAATACAAAAACAATACGAACAAAATCAAATATTCTCAGTATTCCTTGTGTAGATAGAATTTTATTTGCGTTTGGAAATTTGCCAAGAGGACATCAATTTGACAATGGGTAAGCAAACTTCATTGGATGTAAGAAAATTAGTGATCAATTTTAGGAAAGACGGAAAATTTTTCCGCGAAATTGCTTCGATAATTGGAAGAAGCCATAACACAGTGAAAAAAATTATTGATAAGCAAAAAAAAGTTTGGAGAATTAGAAGATCCGACACGTTCGGGTAGGCCAAAGCGGCTCAGTGATACAGAAATGCGATCAGTTGTGAGAGCTAAAGATAGATCCAACTGTCTGTGCCGTAAAATTGTCTGAGGAAATGTCCAGAATATCCGGACTGAACGTAAATGCCAGCACGATCAGGCAAGCGTTGCATGCCAATGGTCTCTATGGCCGGGTACCGAGGAAAAAACCACACATCTCTACACAGAAACAAAAGCGACGATTGCAATTTCCGGAAAAATATAAAAATAAGGACAAATCGTTCTGGAATAACGTAATTTTTTTTGACGAAAGCACGTTCGAAGGTTTCAGGAAGAAAAAAAGTACTAAAATTTGGAGAAACAAAAATCAAGAGTTTGAACAGAAAAATATTACATCCACTGTATAGCATGGTGGGGGTTCGGTGATGGTTTGGGGTTGTATGGCGGCAAGTGGAGTGTAAAGGCTGGTGCTGATTGATAGCACAATGAACTAAATAAATTATCTAAACATTTTAAAAGAAAATTTGCTCCCCAGTATTGAAAATTGGGCTTAGATCAATCCTGGATCTTCCAACAGGATAACGATCCTAAGCATACGGCAAGAATAATAAAGGAATGGTTGCTTTACCGTACACCAAAATAGCTGGATAGTCCCCCACAATCACCGGACCTAAACCCCATTGAGCATCTGTGGGAACATTTGGACCGGAAAGTAAGAAAAAGGAGCATAACCAGTAAAAATTCTCTGAAGGACATTTTACAAAAAGAGTGGTCCAAAATTTCCCCGGAAGTAGTGTCCAACTAAGTGGAATCAATGCCAAGGAGGTTGGAAGCAGTTATCCATGCAAAGGGAAGACAAACAAAGTATTAGCTTTTGAATTTTTAAATTTTTCTTAAACTGTACACTTTGTTTTGACGCGTGAAATATTGAATATATTTGGTTTTGTATGTGTTGTTTTGTACTTGTGGATTTTATTTTGGATTGCTGTTAAGTTTTTGTAAGAACAATATTCAATAATTTATAAATGATAATTGATTTGAAAAAAATTTAATATTTTTATATTGAAACAAAGAGTGAAATGTATGAGAAAAAGGTGTACACTTTCTTTTGACGCTGACAGTATAAGTTTCCGGCGGCTATTATTACATATATTCTTTTTCTGGATCCTCTATCTAACCATACCCCAATTAGCCCTAAAATGGTGGGAGGGTATACTGAAGCCGAATATTAATACTACTTACGTGGCGGAACTTTTGAAATGAAGCAGATTTCGTAGGTTTCATAGACCTCAGACATAAAAGTAAATTTTCCTTTCGTGATAAGCTCACCTTTCGACAATATGTGCCCTTTGGTATCTCTAGCCTTAAATAAGAAAATTATAAGCAAAGAAGCGTATGAGCACTTGTTACGAACCGACTTACAATATAGTCAATCAATTGGCCAGGGACAGTGGTCACTTCATATTCTCCTTTAACCAACTGGTTTGGTTGAATGTCTTCCTTTAAACACTTTTGAGCATTTGGCTTTATATTAAACATAACACCAATAACAAGATTGTAAGTGCTAATCAAAATAATTAATCTTAAAAACATATTTGCAATCCACATTGTATAAATCTATACTTATACAATTTTAGAAGACTTCAGTGAGTTGGCCTTACAAATTTGCGATGGTTCAAAAACTATCGATTAGTTTAAATTCGATTTATAAACACAAAAGCATGATCCATCGGTTATATCAGAGACAAATACTAAGTTCACATTCAAAGACTGTGTGCGAAACGGTACAATTTTTTTGTGTGGAATTGGAGTGACACAAATATATAACTTTAGTATACCATCCTACGATTTCAGTGTTAAGAGGGAAATGGTTGGATAGAGGAGATTTTCCAAATAAAGAATATATATAATTATAGCCGCAGGAAACTTATAGTTTTCGAGATATTTGCATTTTAAGTTGTTTTTCTTTTATGTTATGCACTTATTATACACTAACACTACGCTACATTGTTTCCACATATTTATTTTATATTAATTATTTTAATATTTTCTTTATATAAGCTGTTAAATAATTAAATTACCAGCGGGTAGAGTTCTCAATGCTTTATTGGAATTTTAACGATTGTGAACGGTTAGCTTGACACCCAACCAGAGACGAGTACAATCAGCACCAAGTTACACTCAGAGAAGAGAGTCGTACACACGACTCCTCCGACATTTATAGGAGTTCAACGGAATTTAAAATACCGTAACTTTAGGTATGCGTAAATAAAGATAATTATAAAGACAAATGAATGATAAAAGAGAGATGACGAATATAAAGCTTAGATAAGACAGTATTGCCAGATCAGACTTGACATTATAAGAAAATAATCTTAAACTAATGTAAATAATCCTAAACATTCTGCCCGGTCGAGTCGGTTGATTTGAAATCTTCCTTCTCTATCAATAGACATAGTTTCTGGATGGCTCGTTTCATGTATCCTCTAGCGGTTCTCAATGTGACATTGCGAACCACTCCATCCGCTCCGGGATGTAGTGTTGTCACTCCACCCAGGCACCAGTGAGTGGGAGGCAGGTTCTCTTGTTTGACTAGAACGATATCGTCCACCCTTATATTCCTCGTGCGTCGAAACCATTTGTTGCGTCTCTGCAAAATGGTTAGACACTCCTCACTCCATAGCTTCCAAAATCCTTGTTGAATTTGACGTATTCATTGTCATTGTTTCAGCCGGTTGCTAGGAATATGTTTGAGATCTGGTTCAGGGACCGCTAGGAGTGGCGACCCAATTAGGAAATCACCTGGCGTTAATGCAAGTTTCTCTTCAGTATCGTCGTAGAGTGGGATAATAGGACGGGAATTGAGACAGGCCTCTATTCTTACGGCTAGTGTCTATAGTGCAGTTGACTTTACCACATGACCTGCGTACCCACACATCGTGTCAAATGAGGCTTAGCGGATAGCAGCCTCCCAGAGGCCTCCTTGATGTGGCGCACTGGGTGTGATGAAATGCCAACGTGTGCCCGAATCTGCTAACGATCGCTGATTATTCTCACCCTGCCATGCTGCAAGATCTTTCTTCAAAAGTCGGTTGGCACCAACAAAGGCTGTACCATTGTCACTATATAAATCCCGGCAGGGACCGCGTCGGCTGACGAAACGAGTAAAAGCATCTAAAAAGGACTGTGCTGATAGGTCATCAACCTCCTCAATGTGCACGGCCTTGGTAACCATGCATACGAATATTGCGAGGTACGTCTTGATGAGCGTTCGAGAGCGTTTCGTTCCGATGCGTAGCGTAAAAGGCCCACAGTAATCGACTCCAGATGATATGAACGGCCTTGCTGCTTTGATCCTCTGCCCGGGTAAAGAAGCCATTTGTTGCTTCAGGACTTCCCTTCTATGACGGCGGCATACTGCGCAGTTATGGATGAAACTCTTGACTGCTTGCCTGGCACTCAGAATCCAGAAGCGTTGACGAAGAGTGTTCAGCATGAGTTGCGTGCCTCCATGCAGTGTAGTCTCATGCGCCTGATTTAGTAAAAGCTTGACCAACGGCGTTGACTTTGGCAAAATAATCGGGAATCGCTGATCATGCTCTAGTTCGGCATGGTGGATGCGTCCCCTAACACGGAGGATTTGGTTCTTGTCTAGAAATGGATTTAAAGGTATTATCCGACTGGAAGATGACAAACCTGAACTAGACATCAATTGTCCAATTTCATTTGCAAAATGTTCCTCTTGCTCTAAATAGATTATAGTGTATAATGCATCGTCCAACTCCTGAGCAACGATCACCGGTTGACGAAAGTGTCGACGCCTTCTTAACCAGCGCAGGATAATGGCCAATGTACCCAACAATCGAGTGATACTACTGAACCGTTCAGTTAACAAAATAGCGTGTCCATTTGGACGACGAGTATACAACGGATGTGAAATGAGTACAATAAATTTGGTTGTATTTCGGTTTTCGGCGAGTAAGACATTTGACTCATCCTTGCTGAGAGGAACATCACTACTGTCCCCATACATCATCTCTGCCTCCTTAGGACCATGCCAAAGGGGATGTACTAATAGCTTGGCGGGTGTGATGCCTCTACTGGCACAATCGGCTGGGTTATGAGCCGAACGAATGTGATACCATAGGGCAGGTGGATGTCAGCTCCTGTATTCTACGAACCCGATTTGATATGAATGGTTTAAGTGTTGCTGGTTCTGACAACAGATAGTAGGGAACGTCAACTAATCCCAAAGAATCTCGCACGTTCTGGAATGTCTCGGCAAGAAGCAGCGCTGCCGCAAGTTCCAGGCGTGGAATGGTAGCAGTTTTAAATGGTGCCACCTTGATACGTGCCGTTAGAAGTGTGAAACGCATCGAACCGTTTGTGTTCGACGTCTTCGCGTAAATAACTGCTGCATAAGCATGTGTGCTGGCATCAACTCATGAAATGATGTCAAAACGCGTGGAATCATTCCCACCCACCGTTCGATACGAATTTGATTGAGCTCCGGAAGCTGTGACCGATACTTCAGCCATTCGCGGCAAAGATCATCAGGTAATGGTGAGTCCCAGGATAGACCCGCAGACCATATTCACTGAATGAATATTTTCCCTGTTACGATAACAGGCGATAAGAATCCGGTAGGATCGAAGAGTCGTGCCGCCTCGCTGAGTACACGGCGCTTCGTTGAAATGTAGTTTTCCCTAAGGACTGGATCCGCAACCATGCGACGCTCTAGTTTATGAAATTGCCGTAATGCCAATGCGTAAGAGTCACCTAGTTCCGTTGCCTTTCGTCTCAAAGGTAAGTGTAGGATATAACAGCCGTCTAAGGTACGGCTATGAGTGGTCTCGAAGATCTGCGCACATTCATTCTCTGGCAGATCGTCAACCACTGCCATTTCCTCCATTTGCCAAAATTTGGACACCAGTTCCTCCAACCGGTGGTCCTCCCTGTCTAGCGAAGTGGTGAGAGTGAGCAATGATTCCTTTGCAGGAAGGGTCACTGCTGTTGGACCAAACACCACCCATCCAAAGCGGGTACGCTGGGCAAAAGGTTCGTCTGGTCCTCCACCGATGACTTCACCTTCAATGACTCGCCCCACACGTCCGCGCCGATAAGAACGTCGATAGTTCCAGGCGTACCAAACCGGTTGTCCGCCACATCTATGTCTCTCAAATATGGCCATTGCTTCATGTCAATCTTCACCGCTGGAGTCGGAGAAGTAATGGACGATAAAACCAAGGCATCAATTCGCATTTCAAAGTTAGTTGTTGTTGATCTCAGAGTGAACGTAACGCTGCCTTTCACTCGAGTATTGATGGTAGCACCTACGCCTTCTACCCTCACGTCACATTTTCGTCGATATAGCTGCAAACAGTTCGCTAGACGATCCGTCACAAAGCTAACCTGTGATCCGGGATCGCATAGAACTCGCGCCACTTGCTGCACCGATGCTTCTGCAAAGGCATATACACACGTTGTTTCTAAAAGGGTTATCGGCTTTGGATTGGCAGCGAGGGGCCTCGCAGGTGCGGCTGGTCATGCCGTTGTGGTTGTCGGCACCTCCGCAGGTACCTCATTGCCTGCGGCTGCCGTAGTCGTAGAAGCACACATTGACGTGTTGTTGGACTTGTTTCGGCATAGGATTGTGTTATGCTTACGTCCACAATTTCGACAGCTACTAGATGGACACTGTCGATAAGAATGACCCGTACGTAAACAGTTGTAACACATCTGCAGTTTATTAAGGGCTTCAAATCGTTGCTCGATACTAAGAGCCAATAATGTAGGACACCTGGCGATTCGATGCGCTAACCCGCAATGAGCACACAGAGCTGCCTCCGTGGTAGCCACATCGCCCTCACTGGTCGTTGCTGACGGGAAACCATTAATAAGACCGGTGGTTCAGGAACAAGGCTATGAGTACGTCTTCGGAAATTTCAATAGGTCTTCTAACTGTGGAATTTCTGTAGTGGAGCACCTCATACACCAATCTCTCTTAGTTACCGATGGAAGCTTTGCCACCACTATTGGTACAGCTTACGCATCCCACTGAGATATGGGGATATCCAGCACACGCAATGCACGCAGCGACTCATGAACCGTATACACAATAGCCAACATTGTGATGACTAGTAGCTATTTTAAGGTTAAGAAAATGGGATACGTGTATTTCCGCTAGCTGCTTTTTATTGTCATAGCGGTCCTTGAGAGCTTTCCACACCTCTTGATAGCCACCCGAGTACGCCTCTGGGTATGCCGAATTATGTACCAGTGTTTCAAAGGCATCTTTGAACGCTAACCATTTACACATGTCTCCATCAAATAACGGGATGGCTAACGGGTCCAATTTGAGATCCACCAAATGGCCATCCAGAGATGTTGTGGGACAATTGCGCGCTCCGTCAGCGACATTAGATTCAAACCTTGACTATGCGATGAGACGATTAAGTCTACTGTATGCCGCAGTATACAGCTCCTCTACTGACTCCAAAAGTGCATCATGTGACTCAATCTCGGAGGACGTAGCTCCTCCGACCAGACGATTATGGTTCTCCATGAAGCGCTCAAAGTGTGATTCAAGCGACTTGAGCTCTTGTTGAAAATGAAACACATCACGACCTTCTATGGCACCTTCCGAGACACGTGCATATATGCGCTTTATTGCTTTCACCGCTGATGAACGCCAATTGAGCTCCGCCATGAAACCAGACCACCGCAATTACAAAATGAAATTAAAATATTTGTCCTTACAGGAGGCACCAAAATGTTAAATAATTAAATTACCAGCGGGTAGAGTTCTCAATGCTTTATTGGGATTTTAACGATTGTGAACGGTTGGCTTGACACCAAACCAGAGACGAGTACAATCAGCACCAAGTTACAATCAGAGAAGAGAGTCGTACACACAAGTCCTCCGACATTTATAGGAGTTCAACGGAATTTAAAATACCGTAACTTTAAGTATGCGTAAACAAAGATAATTATGACATTATCAGAAAATAATCTTAAACTAACGTAAATAATCCTAAACATAAGCATTTTATTTTAACACAATTTTAGTTATATGCAAAATAACACATAGGTTCCATGTTGACAGATTATAAGTGTTGCCACATCCAAACGAATGAAAGCAATCAAAATACATAAAATACCCAATTACCCTCTACTAACTTATATGCACAATATTTACCAATTCATATTGAATATGAAAATAATGGCTAAACGGACAAAAAAAGAAACGGAACCTTGTTTAGTTCTAACAATATCCGTTATAATCCGCAATTGAATATGAAATTGAAAGAGATTGATATACCCTCTTTAACACTGCATTTGCAACTGCAGATGCCCCTCCCTAATGTCATCTTGTGTATCAAATAACAGTCTTGTATCTTATTGTGCAGCTTAGTTATGGCAAATTTTTTGTTTTTGATTAATGACGTTTTGTGTTCGTGTTTTAGGTGATACAAACAACCGTTAGTTAAACAAAACTATTATATTCTGTAGCAACATGTTGCGAGAGTATAAAAATAGGGTACAATTCTTAAACAACAATAATAATAAACCAAACAATGTACTAATTAGTAAATAATATTTACAAAATATTCTAAACCACTCACAGCGATATACTTATTAATTGTAAATTTAATCTCTAGGAATTTTAATAATCAAAACATATTTGAGTAAGAAGAAATTCGTATAGTATAGATTTGAGGCATTTGTACGTTTTAGTATAGAATATTAGTAGGCAATCCGTTCCGAGTGTGACTTTAGTTCTAAAATATTTGAAGCAACCCGTACCAAATGGGACATATTTGCGTGTGCATTAGGGAAAATCTTATTTCACAAACACCGACATTCCTCCCTTCCGTACTTCGCGCCCGTATCAAACGAAATTTGTGCCCGTAGTTGCAACGCAGAAATCAGTTGTTCTCTTTTGTTTTCATTTCACCAATGTTGCCATTGTTCTATTTGTATACACGATTTTTCATACATTTAGTTTTTTAGTTATAATTTTTCATAATGTAAAAGCTTAAAACTTAAATCCAAATATTTAAAATAGTTTACCTATTTATAAATCAGTGTATTCGACTGTGATTTTGAGTTATTTTAAGAATATTTCAAATATATTCCAGTTCATTTTTTAATTACTACAAAATATCGAGTGCAACCTGCATTGAAGATGCTCTCTCGCTTTCAGCTCACGCGTTTCTACGGAAAAATTCCAATTTTCGCGGATATCCTACCGTACAGTCTGTTGAAGCGGACGGTAGAAGTGGTGGTGAGTGTTTATTAACATTGCGCTCTCATAAGATAGGTCGCATCAGCTGATTCGGTCCACGGTTCTGCGTCGGTGATTGGTCTTGTTATACTTGGGCCATATCTGATTCGTTATCTTGTAGTTGGTTATTGATATTATTCAGAGCTATTTGTTCAAAATTCGTACAAAGCTAGCTCTTGATCGTTTCGAGCGGGCATGATATTAACTCTGCCTCAGACTTGTTTAAAGAGGCTCCGAGATTTACCAACTTGTCTGCTTTTTCGTTGCCGAAAATGTTTCTGTGATCGGGAACCCAAATAATGGACAAGCGGAATTAACCTCTAAGTAGTAATCTAGAAAGTAATCTAAGCCAAAAGTGACTAACCTTGGATAAAGTCCGATTTATTTATGTTTAGCTGGTTCAAGATGGCGCTATGTTCATAATACTTCCGGTTCCAACCTCATAAGTCCTGTATACTCGTCGCCCCTGAACAGGCTGCTCTATGTATTCCGTTTATTTTCCTGATATTATATTGTTTCTTTAATGCTGGTCACTAAACCAGTGCTTCATAAGTCTGAATTGGTCTAATGACAGCCGTATATATCAACTTCACTATATTTGATTAAATACCAGAGACAAAGAAATTGTTGTACCACTGAGTGAGAGAAGATTAAAATGAGGTATGTTGATTTTACTCGTGAAAAGCGTCAGTTCCCTTTTACTAGTCCTTTCCTCGAAACGCAAAGGTGCAACCTTCATAGAGCTC